ACAATTAGGCTATTTTAGTTCCCTTCTCTCCACAACAAATCCTCTAAAGTTGCATTTAGGCTAAATATAAGCGTCAAGCCAAAACTAATTAATTTAAAAATGAAACGGAAGCCTACCTCTCTCATTCTGCACGAATCCAAATGTTTCCATATTCGTGAAGTATCTGGATGCTAACCTATCATTTATTATGTAAACTATAGGCTTTGTTCTTCACTCGCAGTATCGACATAAAACATCATCCTTCACATATAGCAGGGGTGGTGAACATCGGTCCAGGAGAGCCGCAGCCCTGCAGAGTTTTGCTTCAACCCTAATCAAACACACCTGAACAAGCTAATCAAGGTCTGAAGGGTTACTAGAAAGCTACAGGCAGGTGAGTTTCAATTAGGGTTGGAGCTGTACTCTGCAGGACTGCGGCTCTCCAGGACCAGAGTTCGCTACCACTGACATATAGGCTATATCAGCAGTGAGGCGCTGGACACAGACTGTACTATGGACTATTTAAATTAAGCAGTGTAACTTTTTATCTTTCTTTAACTATTTTATTTTGATAATGAACAGGCGGCAATGTCAAATAAGCAAAAATGTGTTGTATGTGCGTGTGAGGGGCCAACGCAATCACTGCATTGTTTTCCTAACAGTTACTCCATAATTTATGGTCATACCAACGCTGGCTTGTCATGCAGATAGAAGCAAAACATCATTCAAAACTGTAAAGCTTTTGTAAAATAAAGAAAACTGCTTTCTGCGGTCTCGTTTTTTTTTTTTTTTTCGGGAACTTCGGAGCGCGTTACAATTATCCGAAACTCAGGACAATTTTTTTCTTTCGTTTTGTTAATCTCTGTTAATTAAAATTTTTATTTTATTTTATATTTTGTGTATAGGCCTATATATTCCTTTTTATGCAGCCTATATAGTTTAATTCTAATTCAGGTGCGTGATGTGACCATGTGTGAATCAGTGTTCTACACTGGTTTCAAACAAAAAGCTGCATATTACCTGCCATTCATTTTCACTTAAATGTAGGCCTAATGCTTGGCGGTTCGTGACATATCCTCGATAAACTCTAACGCTGGTGCATTGCCATTGCGACTTACCTATGATGAATTTACAGCTGAGCGCGGGCATTTCACTCGTTGGATGCGTCAGCGTCACGTTTGCAGCCGTACTATGCCGTCTGACAAACTATATTTTGTACAGATATTATTTTGTTTTGGCAAGTAGGCCTATTTAATTATTTTGCCCAGAGAAAAACGTTGAATTATGCAACAGACATGCAACTCGTTGTCTCCATGCAGTTAATTAATAAGCCATTGGTATCGGCCCGTTTCATGCTATTTCTGATACGCAGATGGCTTTAAAAGAATAAAAAATCGGCCGATAAATATCGGCGGCCGATACATCGGTGCATCCCTAAAAATAATGAGATGAGACAAGTGAGAAAATAAAAAACAAGACAAGATGAGGAAACAGGATGAAATGAGACCAAAATATAAAATTATATGAGACTGGAAAAGAAGAGATGAGGAGGTGAGACCTGGAAGAAGAAAAAATGAGACCAGAAAGACAAGCTGTGACAAAACAAGCAGAGACAAGACATTAGAAAAGTGTCAAGGCGAGAAAATAAGAGATGAGAAGAGACAAGTAAAATGAGGCGAGTAGGAAAAGAAGAGATTAGATGAAATGTAAAAATAATGAAAAAATGAGGGATGAGACAAATATGAGAAACAAGATGCGAAAAGACAAAATACCTAAGAAAAAGATGAGAAGAGAATAAAAGATGAGAAAAGTTGAGACAAGACCAGATGAGATGTGAAAAAAAGACAGAGAGATGAGAGGAACATGAGACAATAAACTTACAAAACAAGAGGTATTATGAGAAAAAAGATGTTAATGTGATAAGCAATATAAGAGCTGAAGAGAGACGAGGAGAGCTGAGAAGAAATAGATGAGAGCCAAGGCGAGAAAATGAGAGAAGACGCATTTAAAAAAGATTGAGACACAACATAAGAAAAGAGCATGATAAGAGACAAGAAGGGCAGAAGTGAGACGATAAATGTTGTGAAGATACTGAGACGAGATTGGACAACAAGCCAAGTTAAGGAGACGAAAAAAGATAACATAATAAGAGACAAGTGAGATATGATATGAGAAAAGTATAGCAGATCATGAGAGACCAGATGGGAAGAGAATGAGAGATGAGACGAGACAAGAGTGACTGAAGGAGCCAAAGTGGAGCAGACGGAGAGAAGTAAAGTAGAAACGGAGAGCGGCAGCTCGGACTCACTCATCTGCTGCTAGTGGTTTATTGATCGCAGACAGCGAGTCTCAAAGTCATTTATCACCAGCTCCTCGAGCCCCCATATGTGTGTGTGAGGGAGATAACTCCTGCGATATAGCGGCCATAGCATCCATTATTCCTCACAATGGGCTGTGCCTGGACCTGCCCGACAGCTTTGCACACACACACACACACACACCCGACACAACGACAAACGGCCTCTTTCTGAAAATAATAAATAAATAACAGAACGTATTGTTTGCTTTGCTTGGCCGAACGGCGAGAGCGAAGCTGCTCCACTGCTGATAGCGAAGCAGAAGCCTGAAATACGGCCAGAACGCTGGAAAGTGCTGAGGCTGTGTGTGTGTTTACACGCTCAGGTTATAGTACATCATATTGAGCCAAGCTTGCAGAGACAAAGAAGGATTAAAGTTACAAAGGAAACATGTCAAAATGCTCTCGGTTTGCTTTCTTAATACACGTTCCTGGTCTTAATGTGAATGATTCATTGGTGCACATTATTCCAAAGAAGCTAGCTGAAACGACTTTCATGGCATAATGTAAACTAGTAACTGGAGATACACTACCGTTCCAAAGTTTGGGGTCAATAAGATTTGTTGTCGTTTTTTTATTAAAACTTTTATTCAACAAGGACAAATTTAATTAATCAAAAGTGACATTAAAGTCATTTATAATTTTACAATAAATGCTGTTCATTTCAACTTTCAATTTATCAAAAAAATCTTGACAAACCCATGGTTTCCTCAAAAATATGTTTTCAAGACTGTCATTAATCAGAAATAAACATGTGACACTGAAGACTGGAGTAATGGCTGCTGAAAATTCAGCTTTGCATCACAGGAATACATTACATTTTAAAATATATTCAAATAGGAAACAGCTATTTTTTAATTGTAATAATATTTCACAATATTAAAATTTTTACTGTATTTTTTAATCAAATAAATGCAGTCTTAGTGAGCATAACAGATTTTGTTCAAAAACATTTAAAAAATATATATAATCTTACCGACCCCAAACTTTTGAATGGTTTAGCAAAAACGGTTTCAATCCAACTTAATTCTAGTATTTATTAGCCCATTTTCATAACCCAAAACAATTCCCATTATATAAAATAAAGTCCCACCTAGGCCTGGGTGATAAAACGGTATCGATATTTATCGACGGTACACTTTTTTCTATATCGATATAAAAAAAGTTCGATGTAGTGCACGATATAGTCACGTGCTATGAGCGACGTAGACAGTGCCTGCGATGAGGAGATTGTGAATTTAAAAAAAATTTATATTAGTCGAATTTAAAAGAAACATTTGCATTTGAATGTTAGGTGTGCATCAGGGAGCGTCGTCCGTGGCACGTGAGATGCGGTGATTATGATGTAAGTGACGTTGTTGCATTTTAATGTTTTGTTAGTCTAGCCCACGAGATGCGCCGCTGCTGTGTTATGCATTCAAAATATTTGAGAAATATAGAAGCTCAATGCGGAGAAGATCTTGATTAGGTGAAAAACGGAAACAAGCCATTCACACAGACGCATATTCAGCATTTTCTAGACGGACAAATATGACTGCTGCACACACGTCTCACACAAGAGATGTAGCCATGCAAAGTTAAAACAGTTGAAACTTTTAGAAAACACGTCGCAAATTTATTTATTCCTTTTCACTGCGTCTCTTATGTTTTTAAATGCAGTCTGTGTGAATGGCACTCCGGCTCTTTGGATTAAGCAATGCATAAATACATGATGCTGTTTTGTTCATTTTTAGCCGTGTAATAAGCGGGATAATGTACATCCAGCCGGTTGTTATCTCAGAATAAACCCCTTCAGGCTGATACAAGAATGATCACCCTGTCGGGGTTTATTCTGAGATAACAACCGGCTGGATGTACATTATCCCGCTTATTACACGGCTAAAAAGATTTGTTTTTACCTAATATGTTGAAATTAATGCTGAAGTCTTTCATTGTAACACGCGGTGGTTAAATGTTTTCAGTCACAAGATGGTGCCAGACAGTCAAAGATAGCGGAGTGACTCGTTAAGCATATAAGTAGTACCGGTCAAGATAACTCGTAGTACCCGGATGAGCAGTGTGTTATTCAATTTGGCGGTTGTTATCTGGGAATAATATACTGCTGGATGGTGCGATTGACCAATCAGAATCAAGTATTCCACAGAGCCGTGTAATAAGAAATATTATATCGTTGATACATTTTTTAGCTACATCGCCCAGCCCTAGTCCCACCCAACAATTTTTTCCATTTCACTTGGAAATTCGAACAGTAAAATGTGTTTAAACGCATGAAACACCATTTGGAAGATATTGAACGTAAAATTCAGAAATAAATCTTGAACTAAACCAAGCCCTGCCCACACAAGATTTGACTGGCTCTTGGAACTCAAGGTTTTGACATTATTGGTTAAGATTATTTTCCTCACATGTGCACACCTGGTTCACGTCAACAGAAAAAAAAAAAAGTAGTTTCAGAGGTCAGACACATTCTCGTTTTCCTTCCAGCAGCTCTTCCCGCTGTAGTCCAGAAGCCTGATGTGTGTCAGGATGAATAAAGGTCATGCGGGAACCTAACCAAGTACTGCATAGCCATTTCAACTAGAAACACCAGATGAGTCGCCAAGCCGTGGCTCATCTGCCAACAAGATGAAGAGCACATCTGAACTGAAAACAACCTTATTCCTACCTTACAGTCTGCTGCCCCAGAAGAAGATGAGTGGGAAAACCTAGAGAAAAAAAAATACATTTCTTAATCAGTATTTGTCTTGCTTTTCAAATTTCTAAACATCAAGCTAGATTTACTTGAGAAGCACAAATGCATAGGATATTAAGATTTAATTCAAGATACACTCTTTTAAAATTAGTTTAGTCTGTCCTACACCAATGGTAAACTCATTTTAAGCATTAACTTGCTTGCAAAACTGGGATAGTTCACCTGAAAATTAATTTCTGAAATGATTTACTCACCCAAATAATTTTTCAGTGAACTACACCCCTTCAATATCTTCCACAATTTTGCTTCAAGTAAATTTATCTTGCCAAACACAGAGAAACCGAAGGCAAGAGAGAGATATGTGAAAACAGATAAATACAGGGTAAAACAAATCTAGAAAAAAAGTTCTCTCACACCATATGCACCATTGATTTCCTATTCTCTCGGAAACATTTAATGAGCTTAAGCGGAGAAGGAGAGATTGAAGGAGAGAGAAAGAGATGAGGAAGAAAACAGTTAAAGCCTCACAAAAATTTTCCTGAGAGAGCAAATCATTCAAGAAGACAAGAAGGTGCTTAGCAGAGGAACAGGTGTTGGATGTGATGATTCCCACACTGGTATCCAAGCCAAAACCAGCGGGAGTCCGTCAACAAGGAGCAAAGCTGGACCACATCTGTTTGCATTTCATTCCCAGAGTGTCAACACATCTCGCAACAATAAAGAATGAATAGAGCAAGAGGAATATGTCTCTGTAAATATTTAGGTGATGGATTCGCTAAGAATGAATTGCACCTGCTAATAATATTAACACAATATCTGCATGGTTTTTGCACCCGATTCAATAAAAGGAATTGTGCAAATCAGTTAACGGTACAAACACACAGTAAAAAGCGCAAAATAGGGCCCTATGATTTCTGACTGGAATCCAGTCTTAAATTTAATTTACGGTATAACAACAACAAAATTGACCAAATTTTGGATAGATAAATCAAAAAGTAGGCCAGTACACTTAAATCAAAACGCGATATGGACTAGTGTCTGTGAATACTATTTAAATATGAATCCTGCATGTTCTGCGTGTCTCAGTGTGAATGAATGACGCAGACAAGCAGTTTAATTTACTACACACATACTGCAGCACACGTGATGCAGTGTTTTCAGCCTCAATATATGAGTATGTACACATAAACATAATCTCTAGAACTGTTCTGAGAGTCACTTCATGAGCATTTTACCATTTCTTTTGAGAAAAACTATCGTCATATCGTACACAGAAACTTAAAGGTCTTCACAGCAACCCGTCAAAATAAAAGTCTGGTTTAACATGAAGAAACAATGACAGAAATATATTACTTAATGTAATGATAGTATTACTACTACTAATAAAATTATTAATAAAAAATACATTACGAATATTTACCAGAATTTATTTAGCATTTATATTGTGTATGTAAATACACAACAAAGAATTTAAAAGACAGTCCAGAAAAAAGAAACAACAAAAAAAGGAATTCAGAAAAAATAAAATGGAAAAAACTGAATTTGGAAAAGAATAAAACGGAATTTGTGGAAGAATAAAACAGATTTCATAGGGCCCATAAACGCAACTTGAAAGATGAAATTCACCTTTTCAAGGCCAGTTCTGATCACACCTTTTAAATATGCACGACTAAGTGGTTTAACCAGCGTCTGGTTACACTAGATTAAACTGGTTTAACTTCTTGAACTAAATCTCTTCATGAATTGACCCTTTGTCTCACTCAGTGCAAGCATGGTTTCAGATATCAATGTTATAAAAAAAAAACAACGCAGACAATCATTACTCGTCCGCTGATGCCCTAATCGAGCCGCCGAGAGCTTGTTTTAGCAGTGAAAACGATTTAAAACGTTGAAGAGCCATTAGAGAGGCAGATTGTGAGTAATGTGAGATTCGAACATTCACCCAAATGCCGCCCCATTAGCTCCAGCAGTGCAACAGAAAGAAATCTGCGGTACATGCAGCCATTACGGTGTCCCTCAGGGCTCGGTCTTGGGCCCAGTGCTGGATTTCAGTGATGTGCAGTATTGCTTCATCCTTTCATTTGCAACCCCAGTGGAACTGCAGCCATGTCGCACTAAACGTTATCAATCAGCTAACAGCAGCCCGTTTAAAATCACTCAAGGCTCACATGGTATTAAAAGCTGCCAATGCAAATGCTAAACAAATATGGTTTCAACTTGTCCCTTATCTACAAGCGTCAAGCTGTCTGAAGTAGATCTCAAACAGGGGTGGACAGTATGAACATAATTTTAGCATACAAGTAAGTATATACTACGTTAACAATATGCATCACAATACTCACTACAGTTCAAAAGTTTGGGGCCAGCATGTTGTTTTTTTTATTGAAAGAAATTAATATTTTTATTCAGTAAAGA